GTAATGTGCTCTGTCCATTAACCTCAACACGTAGCCTGTCGGGCTGCTTCTTTGCGCCATGTACTCAGACTGCTTTGCATCTCTGATATGCCTTTGTACCATCAGTGAACCAGAATGTGTGTGAAAGTGTTGTACAGTTCTACTGGTGCAGACATCCTCTGACAGGAGCAGGCAGTGGTGGGGTGGGGGAAAAAAAAGTGAAAGTACAACGTCAGTGATGTGTGAGGAGGATGTGTGATCTGTGAGCCTGAGCAGAGCAGACGCAGGAAAAAAAAGAAAAAAAAAAGAAGAAGAAGTTGATGTGAGCGGTTGCTTTTCGGGTCGTTCGTTGATCAAAAGTGAATCTGTGCCGAATCCCCGAGAGCTGCATGGATGCCAGAGCGCCAACTTTGCGCAGTGGCCAACAGAAACCACGTCACGTGCCCGCGCGCACTCACGTCGTGCCCACCAAACCTGCTTGGACACTTTTCTTTCCACCTTCAGTTCTGGCTCTCTTCTCTCTGCTCCTTCTTCCGCCCTCCCTCCTTCCCTAAAACCCAGTAATGCCTCCCATAAAGGGGGCTTTCCACGGTGCCATTTCGAATTTAGAATAGTGTTAATAAATCAGAGCTTTTTATACCCGCCTGGAAGCTTGTCTGAGAGAGAGAAAACCCCTCTAATGGTTGAAAATGATCCCTGGCAGGAGAACGTCTCCCTGCGTGGCCTGATTTACGCAGAGCATTGGGTTAGAGGGAGCTCATAGCGACGGTTCTCTTCTCCCTGGAGCGCACTGTGCGTCTGGGCAAATGGGTGCCTTCTCTCGGTGAATGCTAAAGAGCCAGGATGTTCCGATGATGCCAATGAGCGTGCACGGGAAACTAAGAAAAGGGGGGAAAGGGGGGAGGATGCAGACTTACATCCGCACTGGTATCAACAGAAAGCCCTTTCAGAGATACCTGACCAGAAACTTAGATCCGGTTTATTATAGGGCGCCTCTTACTGTAGTCATCTGTCTGCCGCAGTGCCGTTTCCCGTCAGACCTCCCTGAAGTCTGTCGGCTGTGACGCTAACTAATATTCACCAAGACGATGAACGAGCGTGAGAAAATCGGCCCTGACTATCTTGCCTCGTCTCCCCCCGTGGAGAGCAGGTGGCTGTGGTAACGCTGAGCTAGAATGACAACCGGGACGCAAAGACACCTCCGTGTGTGTATGTGTGTGTCCATCTGTTGAGCATGGATGTTGGCACACTGTCATTCCACCTGAAAAGCAAACCACCGTGGATGCCTACGTTGCATTACAATACCTAAAATAACCTTACCCCCTTGGCACCTGTGTGGCTTTATTCCTCCAGTAGTAACATGTGCCACAGTCAACAGTTCCCCATTGGAGCTCCACTGCAGCCTACAGGTGCGGCACAGTGATGAGGAATACTGAACCTCAAGCACAAGCAAGTGACTTTTCCTCCGTACTTGGCAGCGTCCATGGGGTCGGACAATGCCTCTCGCATTATTCAATTTCTGACATTAAAGTTCAGTAACTGATTGTTTATAAATCATGGGGCAACAATGGAAACTGTCCAAAGGACAATTTTAGAAATATGATATTGACTTAACATTTTTAGACCTCCATGTAATGCATTCCTCCGCCTTCACACTGAACAGTGAATAACCATGACCTTCCCCTCCTCTTTTTTCTTGGCCCCCTTTCTTCTGAAATTATACACAGCGAATAACGCCGTTTGTTTTATTCCTGAGGCTACTGTCGGAACTAATGGAGCCAGCAGGGTCATGTCCCCTTTTAGCAGAGATGAAACCCAGGGATGATGATGGCTCATGTTGTAGATATGAGAAAGGACACCTTTTAAACCCTGCTTGGTAGAGGACAACGGTTGATCAGGGACTGGAAATCCCTTACAGTCACGTTTAGCAGGATTTATAGCTGAAACTCTCCTGTCTATTAATCAAATTACTGCATCTGTGTAAAAAAAAAAGTGCTTAATTATTAAAACGTTAAAGAACAGTTCCCATCACTGTAGTGTTTTGATTCCCTAAATGAAAAAATGAAGAAGTTCTTGGGAGAATTCCTTTTCAACTCTAATTCATTTCTCTGGCGAAGCAGCCAAAAAGGACAGCAGCATGGGCAGCCCCATGGACATCAACATGGACAGCACCACGGACAGTTCCACAGACAGCACCATGGACAGCAACATGTTCAGCACCACGGACAGTTCCACAGACAGCACCATGGACAGCAACATGTTCAGCACCACGGACAGTTCCACGGACAGCACCATGGACAGTTCCATGAACAGCACCATGGACAGTTCCATAAACAGCACCATGGACAGTTCCATGTACAGCACCATGGACAGTTCCGTGGACGCACCATGGACAGCAACATGTACAGCCTCATGTACAGCACCATGGACAGCAACATGGACAGCCCCATGGACAGCAACATGCACAGCAACATGTACAGCACCATGTACGGCACCATGTACAGCACCATGGACAGCCCCATGGACAGCAACATGGACAGCCCCATGGACAGCAACATGCACAGCAACATGTACAGCACCATGGACAGCCCCGTGGACGCCCCATGGACAGCACCATGTACAGCCCCATGGACAGCCTCATGTACAGCACCATGTACAGCCTCATGTACAGCACTATGGACAGTCCATGTACAGCACCATGTACAGCACCATGGACAGTTCCGTGGACGCACCATGGACAGCAACATGTACAGCACCATGGACAGTCCATGGACAGCACCATGGACAGCAACATGGACAGCAACATGGACAGCAACATGGACAGCAACATGGACAGCAACATGGACAGCACCATGGACAGCAACATGGACAGCCCCATGGACAGCAACATGCACAGCAACATGTACAGCACCATGGACAGCCCCGTGGACGCCCCATGGACAGCACCATGTACAGCCCCATGGACAGCCTCATGTACAGCACCATGGACAGCAACATGTTCAGCACCACGGACAGTTCCACAGACACCACCATGGACAGCAACATCTTCAGCACCACGGACAGTTCCACAGACAGCACCATGGACAGCAACATGGACAGCCCCATGGACAGCAACATGCACAGCAACATGTACAGCACCATGGACAGCCCCGTGGACGCCCCATGGACAGCACCATGTACAGCCCCATGGACAGCCTCATGTACAGCCCCATGGACAGTCCATGTACAGCACCATGGACAGCCCCGTGGACGCCCCATGGACAGCACCATGTACAGCCCCATGGACAGCAACATGGACAGCCCCATGGACAGCAACATGCACAGCAACATGTACAGCACCATGGACAGTCCCATGGACAGCAACATGTACAGCACCATGTACGGCACCATGTACAGCACCATGGACAGCCCATGTACAGCAAAATGTACAGCCCCATGGACAGCACCATGGACAGCAACATGTACAGCCCCATGGACAGCAACATGTTCAGCACCACGGACAGTTCCACAGACACCACCATGGACAGCAACATCTTCAGCACCACGGACAGTTCCACAGACAGCACCATGGACAGCAACATGTACAGCCTCATGTACAGCACCATGGACAGTACCATGGACAGCAGCACTCAGACAATCCTGCACTTCTGCAGCCTTGGTTCCCAGTACAGTCCACTGATTGTTGTGTTAGTATTTTCACGTGGCTGTTGTGTGGTTTCAAAGCACTAAGTGTTGATCACCTGCTGTGTTGACTCAACGTGGAAGTCAGACAAAAGACACAAGCAGAGAAACGGTCCACACACCCACATTCTGACCTTGACGGAACGGAAAGTAGTGAGACACGGACGGGCTGCTGAGACTGTATCTAATAAATGTACCGTTGAATTGAATCGCCAGCTACTGAAATGGAAGCGTGACACATATCTGCAAAAAACATCCAGCTCTGCGGCAATTCATAGGCTCTTATAAATACTGATACTAACAGCATTTTCCACGTCTGCCCACATGTCATGCACTAATTTTGGCAATGCTAAATCGCTCTCTTCTCTCACATTCTCTTCTTCACTTATCACTTTTACTCGAGCCGAGCAAACGTCTGAGAGCATACATCAAGGCATGCTCAGCAGGAGGGAGGAAATACAATAAGCAATAAGTGGTGGTATCACATCATCGTCTGTGTTAGTGTTGGTCCCTGTGCATGCATGCATGCAGTTCAAACAGTGCATATGGACAAAAGGCCAGGAGACAGCTTGTTCTTGTCTGGATCACTGCACCTTGGTTGGTCAATTGTTCCATCAACACCCCTCATGTCCTCTCTCACCTACTCATAAACACACACTTTCTAGATTTTATTGGCCTTTTTCCTTTAACAGGCTGCTGCTTTATAATCCCTGCTATGTCTTTTCCTTCTGTTTACTGCATTGCTGCTCTTGGTCTTTTAATTTTGCACTGGCCTTGTAGTTTTAAATACTGAAATCCATGGAGGGATTTTACTACTACTTTGACTTATCTGAAAGGATTTAACCTAGGTGAAAACATTTCAGTACAGGACACTGCCTTCCAACAGAAGGAAGGCCCACAGAAAAGATATATCAAAGAATCAATTATTTGTATATTTAACTGTATGAAAACATTTTTTCTAGCTCTGAGTCTGCCAAAGACTCTCATGCAATCTGCTTGCACTGCCATGATTTATTTTAAGTCCCAAATGCCACTGTCAATTGGGCATCAGGTATTTTCCATGACCCGTAGTGCCTATGGCAATGTTCGTAGTCCCATGTTAGTTTGGGGCTGTCTATAAGCATGACTGAGCTTAGGCAACACCAGGGCTCAAAAACAATCAACAGGAAACCAGAGCCCCAGCCCTGTAGATGTGCCTTCTATAATTAATTAAACCTTTTGGCAGCAAAAGGAAATAGATGGGCCTACTTGCAAATACATAGGTTGGAGTTTTCAGGAGGACTGGAGGACAAAGCAAATTAATTGCTTTGACTCCCAGGGATAATTCACATCTCTGATTA